CGCCTTGTGTGTTGCACACGCGTGTGACACACTCGTCCACGCACGCGTGCGAAGCCCCCGAGTGCCCCTCGCTCGGGCGTCACACGAGCGACGCCGGGCGTGACACGCTCGCGTGACAGGACGTGTGTGTGTGTGTGTGTGTGTGTCCCGTGCGGGCGCCTCACGCGAACGCACTCGAGGTCACGCGTGTCCCACGCTCACGTGACACAGCCGTGTTGCACACGCGTGTGTCACGGTGGCGTCGCCAGGAGCGTGACACAGGCAGGAGCGTGTCCCACGCTCACGTGCCCGGACGCGCGTGCGCGTGTTGCACGCTCACGTGCCCGCACGGAGCGCATCGGCGTGTCACGCGTCCGCAGGGAACCATCCCGCCCGGCCCTGGACGGGGCGGAACCACTTCCGCCCGCAGAAACCGTTCCGACCCGGACGACTTCCGGCAACGGACCACGTCCGACCCGGGACTTCTTGCTGCCACGGACACTTCCGGTCAGGGCGTCTGTACGGGCCCGCGGGACGGGGCGGAACCACTTAAGCCCTCAGAAACCGTTCCCGCCCGGACGACTTCCGGTTGCGGACGCATTCCGACCCGGAACACTTCAGGGTAACGGACAATTCCGCTCCCGCGTGATTTACGGTCCGGGACACTTCCGGTCCGGACTACTTCCGGATTAGGCCCGACGCGGAACGACTTAAAACCCTATGAAACCGCTCCCGCCCGGTCGACTTCCGGTTGCGGACACATAACGACCCGGACCACTTCCGGGTGACGGACACTTCCGGTCCAGCTTCGTTTTAGGTCCGACTTACATCCGGTCCCAAACTTCCGGTTCCCCGCCGAGACCGGAAGTGGCCCCCCTCCCCCCCCGCCCGCGCGCGCACCCACCTCCCCCGTGTGCGCGCGCAGGTGCGCGTCGAGCTTCCAGGCCTTGTTGTAGGCGGCGCCGCAGCCGGCGAAGGAGCAGATGAAGGTGGCGGCGGCGCGTGCGCGGGGCGGGGGAGGCGGCGAGGGCGGGGACGCGGCGGGCACGAACGCGTCGTCCACGCGCAGCGAAGCCACCGCCTCGGCCACGCGCGCCGCCGCCGCCGCCGCCGCCGCCTCCGTCGGATCCAGCGCGGACCGGAACGTTGGAGCCCGCGGAGACGCTGCGGGGACACGGACGGGGCTCAGCGGAGCGCGCGGGAGGCCGGAACGGGGCACTTCCGGGGCAGGCCCCGCCCCTCCGGGAGGCCACTCCCCGATTTTCCGCTCACTTCCGATTCTAGCCCCGCCCCTCTGGCAACCCCGCCCCGAATTCGCTTCGACTTCCGGTAGAAGCCACGCCCCTCGCGGGAGCTCCGTCTGTATTTCAGCTCACTTCCGGAGGGAGCCCCGCCCCGAATCCCTGCTCACTTCCGGGAACGCATCACGAGGCCCTGCCCACCTCGCTCATCACTTCCTGTATCGCTTCCACTAAGCCCCGCCTATCTATGAACTTACTTCCGGTGGTAACACACACACCCACCCACCCTCACCCAGTTCGCGCCTCACTTCCGGTTTCGCTCCACCTAGGCCCTGCCCATCTGCGTCTTCACTTCCTGTATGGATACGCCTAGGCCCCGCCCATCTATATCCTCACTTCTGTATGGATACGCCTAGGCCCCGCCCATCGCCTGCCTCACTTCCTGTATCTTTCCCCTAAGCTCCGCCCAGCTCCCCCCTCATTTCCTGTATGTTTCCCCTAGGCCCCGCCCAGGCCCCTCTCACTTCCGGATTCTCCTCGCAATCGATCCCCGCGCGGCCCCGGGGCCTCCGCGAGCGCTTCCGCCCTCCGCGAACCGTCTCCCCGCGCGGCCTCCGGCGCCGCCGCCGCCCCGACGCGGATCCTCCTCACAGGGCGAACGCGCGAGCGTCTCCACGCGCGGCTCCGCTCGATTCGCGCCTCACTCACTTCCGTGTCAGGCCCCGCCCCTTCCGCGCTCACTTCCGGATGCGCGCCCAAGCTCCGCCCCCTAGTCCCATCGGAAAGTAGTCCCCGCGTCCAGTTCCCGGAAATTACGCTTTTCCTGTCCCCACTTTAGTGTCCCCCCAGGCAACTTGACCCCGTGATCTTCTGTTCCTACCTCGACTGTCCCCGTGTCCCCGTGTCCCTGTGTCCCCCTGTCCCTGTGTCCCTGTGTCCCCCTGTCCCCGTGTCCCCCCGCAGGGGCAGCGGCCGCCATGATGCTCACA